TCTAAGAGCAGTCAGTCTATGCAAGGTATTTTGTTCTGTTTTATTTGGAGGCAGTCCGCGACAAGGGCAAAGAGGGGCTTCATTTTGCCTTTATTGAGTTCAATTTATTCATAAACTTGCAAATATGCTGAAAATAATACACAAATATAGCCATACACCCACATGCAATTAAATCAAATGTGATGATGGAGCAGATGTGAATTTTGGACACTTTGCTTCAGAACTCCTCCAGACTGGGGGTCTTTTCCTTAAAGATATAAATTGTTACAAATACTGAAAAGTTTCCCATCTCTTCCCCCGCTTTCTACCTCCAGGCAGCCTCCATGTTTCTGTATTTGTTACTATACTTAACAGCATCCATAAAAATATATATGCTGTTGTTTAAGATTTTATGTTAAGATTTATTTATGCATACAGAACTGGGGTACAGGCCAGAGGTGAAGAGACAGTGAGAAAATTCACCAAAGACAGAGTGGGGAGCAGAATAGGCAGATTGATGAAGTACACTGATGAGGGGAGCAGTGGGTGAGAAAGAAGAGTTCTGCTGTGCCATGTGAGTCACCTCCCTGGCCAGGGATGGAACTTATACTTGTGCGAGGCAGCTGCAGCCAGCCTTATAATGCTGTGCTTTAACCCATTGCACCACCAAGGAGGTCTCTGTTTTGTGGCGTTTTTTTTTTGTTTGTTTGTTTGTTTGTTTAAAAGCATCCTGTATATAGCAATTTTGCAAATTGCCTTTTCCATGCTGTGTGTGTGTGTGTGTGTGTGTGTGTATGTTTTTAAAGATTTATCCATAGTATTGCCTAGAAATATTGCTCATTACTTTAAATGCTGTGTTCTATTGCTTGTAGAAGTCCCAGTGTATCCATTCTCCAACTCAAAAACACTAAGCTCATTTTCCATTTGTGCTATTGTAAATAGTCCCCCAGCAAACATCTTTATCCGTGTCTCCTTAAACACGCCTGTGAGTTCCTGGAGGGCAGATAGCTAGCTGTGAGGCTGGTGCAGGTGCCGGCTGCCTAGGGAGCTTTCAGCAGCTTACTCTGCAGCCACTTCTCAGAAATGAAGTAGGACCCCCACTTATGACTCCAGAGGTCCCTCGCAGTTTAATATGAGAAGTCAGAATTGTATTATGTCCAGAAAGTGTGTCTAACCCTAAAATGTCTCTAACAAAATGAGTGCTTAAACTGATTATTTAAAGGAACTTGTAGCATTTTAGAATGTTCCTTACCCAAAAGTTGATTGCCTGGACCACTGTGGGTGTCCCAGACTGTTCTGTGTGCCTGAGGGCCCTCCCCTCACAACCATCCAGACCAGACGGTGACCCCTCAACTCAGGCCCCAGATCCACAATGTGGTTGTCTGCATTTCTGTCCCCAGAATATAGGGGGGGGAGGGAGCCTACAGCTGACCTCAATGCCTTTCCTTCTTGCCTGTGATGGCCTCAGAGGCCATCACTGGTGGTAGGACTGGCACCACACTGGGCCCTTATGTTTGAGGCCTGGAGACCTCAAAGAATATAAGGCAGAAGACAAGTCTTATTCTGAGAAATGTTCAGTCTTTTGAGTCTCAGTGTGGTGGTTGGGAGCTTGTTGCTCTGTAATCAGACACCCTGTAACTCTGGCCATGGCCCTATGATGAGCCTCCTGGAAGCAGCTCACAGTTCTGCTTTACTGTCTTTCTAATGAGGTACCTGAAGTGGCAAGGGAGTTGTTTGGAGAGTCAGCACCTGATTCCTTGCATGGGCTCAGTAACCCCCCAAAACTAGTGAAGAGCTGAGCCAGGCTTAGCAAATATCCAGGGGGTGCTGGCAAAGAGAGGGCTCTCCCTGGATTCTCAGAAGGGCCCTTCCCAGAAGCCCAGAAGTTGAGAAGAACATGGTTAGAAGCCATACCGTGACAATAAACAGTGATCTTAGAGTTTTGCAAAAAAAAGCAGTCACAGAAGAAAAGCATCAGAGCGCAAAGTCTACTTGCAGTGGCCCCATCCCTTGCTGGCTGGCTCTGGACAGACGACTGGCTGGCTATGGACAGACGACCAGTGTCAAGAAAGCCCCAGTGATGCTTCTTTTGACTGACAGTCTGCTGTGGGCTTGGACACATGAACATAACAAAGTGGCCTGGCCATGCTTCCTGTAGGGGAGGAAGGACTTATTCCTTTCCCCTTCCAGGGTCTCTGGCTGAGCCTGAGAACTGAACTGACACACAGAACAGAAGAAGAAGAGATGAACATACATAATTTATTAACATTTTACGTGTACACCTTCACTAGAAAATGAAAACCTGAGAAAGTGATCAAGACAAAAAGTTTATATAACTTCTAGACCAAAAAAAAAAAAATTTGTGAAGAAGGGATAAGGCAATTTATTGGGCTAGGGACAATAAATTAGGAGGACATGCCTGAGAGTCATGTGGGAGTGGAGAAACTAGTGGGAGATAAGGTTATCTTAGTAAGTATGTTTGCACAGACACACTTGGCATTCCTTCAGTATCTGGTGATAAGAATACTCTTCTCTTCTGGGGAAGGCATCTTGTGGGAAATCTTCTGGTCTGTTTTAAGGCAGAAAAGGGGAGACCACAAAGCCCTTCCTGAATCTACTACCTTCGAGTAACTTTAGCTCAAAAGCAATTTGTGTAAGCAGAATATGTTGGCATATTTGAACTCTTGCTTAACTTGAACTTTTGCTTCCCCAAACCTGTTTTCTCAGTGGTCACCTACAGAAACCATTGTCCTTTACTCCCAACTCGGTTCCCACATGCCCCAGTCAGGTTTATAGTAGAGGAGCTGGATAGAGAAGGGGGAAGACTCTGGAGATTTAAGTTCAATTCCCACTTATTAGCTATGGACCTTGGGCAAGTCTCCTTAGTGTGAAATGGAAATACACTAGCCCAACCAACCATCAGAGGTTGTTCAAGAATGAATTAGTTTAAGAATTAATAGTGCATCTTCCTGGTATACAGTAAGTGCTCAGTAATAGTGTGGATACCTGGTTATATCGATAGTTAGTAATCTAATGATCAGCCCTTCGATTTCTCAGGGACCAAATGTTTAATATAACTGAGGCTTTCAGAACACAAAGATGAACAAGTCCGAACCTGCCTGCCAGGACCTCCATTCTCTGGGGAGGAATGGGCCAGTGACCACACAGATGGGAGGGACACAGGGGCCTTAGAGGACAGAGGGTGGAGAATAGGGATAGGCTGGAAGGAGTTAAACAGGCCTCCAGGAGAAGGGATGATCATGGCAGAAAGAGTAATGTGAGAAAATAGGAGGACCGTGAAAACACTCAAATGTTCAGAAACTGCGTGAGTACTCTCTGTTCTAGACCTGCACTTATTTTTTAAGCTGTTTAAAAAAAGCAAACAATGGCCCTCCCTGGTGG